CCCCAAAACCCCAAAACCCCAAAACCCCAAAACCCCTTATATTAAATAAAATATTGCTAAATTATAACAATATGAAATTAATCTTTCTTCTTCTTGCTCTTGCCATTGGGGTACAAGCATTTGGAGCTACAGAGACTGGGGTGTACGAAGAGGTGGCTAAGCCACAAGTTCTGGTAAGTAGTGAGGGAGGATGGAAGTTAGAGGGAGGTGAGGAGAGGGTTTTGGGGGTGTTAAAGATGAGGAGACGGCTGGAAGTTTGAGATAGAGGAATAATTAGGGGAAAAGTTGAGAGAAATCTGTTATATTCAGGGTCTAAATTGTTTCAAACTTCTAATCCAAGGTGTATCATTACTAGAATTAAAAATACATATCTAAAATCAACTTGCCAATCTACACCTCAGCTCTTAAAACTCTAGATACATATTTCCGATTCATACAATGCTAAAATTTGAACAAAAACTCATGAAAAGTGCTGTATCCAATAATAACAGTCGCCTCTTCTTCCTATCTAAACCCATACCTAAACATCCAAATATCTTCTTAATTTTTCTATACCATCATATGTTAGGAAGATATTTAGCATAACTAAAAGCGGGCACACATCGTGTTCAATAATCAAGCATAAAGCAATCATCGTTTGCTCCATATATAGCCTTTCTGGTCTAAATTTATAAGCCAGATTTAGCCTTCGGGTTGGGTTTTGAGCTAGTCTTAGCACAAGCGAGATTTAAGTGGAGATTTTAGGGTTTGGAAATACCTCTTTGAGGGAAGTTATAGAGCTAATCCCTTAAAAATTCTGCTGAAAATATATTTGTGCTAATGACGTATTATAGAAAGCATGGCCTTGGGAATTCTGCTCTGTAAGATCAGCAGTCACCGGATTCTTTACAGGTACTGAATCAGACCCTGACTATCCAAACTCAAGATGTGTGACTCGATTCCCAGATCTTCAGGATCAATTTTCGTTGGTGGTTAATAGTGTTGGTCCAAATCTTCTAATTCCAACTAATTTTGTTGCTTGGCTGAATACTATTGTTACACTCATCGTCAGATATGGATACTGGCAAAACTACTGTGTGTTCTCTACTCTCTTCACAAGACTAGACAACACTATTCAGAACCGTGAGGGTCTCATTACAGCTCTTTCAAGAGGAGTCTTCCAGAGTTCACTCATTGAGGCACAGTGGTCAGATTTCAGGAAGTTCATGGGTGAAGAAGACTGTTTCAAGATGTCCAGAGCTTTCGGAATTATGTTTTCAGTCATTTTAGACTTTAATGTCCCTGAGGACATTGTTTAACTTTTTGATTTGATAAAGAGTTCTAAAAATATGTGAATTAGTGCTTGATAACTTCCTGGGTTTATAAACCAAACATAGATATCTCTTGCTTTCTTTTCTATCTGAAAAATTCACTATACTATTGTTATTCTGATATATTCTTGGTGATAGGGTTTTAGTAAGTCAAAACAAGGATATATCAGGAAAAATTTTCAAGGTGTAATACACACCCAATGGCTTTAGCTTTACCTAGCTTTCCAATTTTAATGATAAGAAAAGATATAATACCCTTTAATTTCGGTTTCAGTCTTCATCAATGTTCTTTATATTAAATTTCTCAGACTTCAATAGCCATTTTTCTTCAGGGGTTTTGGGGTTTTGGGGTTTTGGGGTTTTGGGGTTTTGGGG